GTTTTAAATTTTTCTTTTTTCATTATTTTTCTTTTTTTTAAAAAAAATAATAATAATCAAACCTGCTCTATCATATGCTATGCTCCAAGGTCTAATATCCATCTGCTTGTACAGAACGAAAGATATAAGCATTCTTATCTTTAATATGCGGATTTTCCTGTAAGTGCTTATCAGATAGTTGTAATGGCCCATGACATACACAAAGAAACCCAAAACTATTATAGAACGTCCCAAATGTTTCGAGCGTAAAATATCTTCTTCTTCTCCAATCCAAATCCTCCATCATCCATCATTTACGTAGAAGTGGCATTCATCATGTGTAATTTGGATAAGTTCTTTTTCTTCCGGTTTAAGGTTGGGTTTCAATACAATGTCTAGCATATCACCATCAATCTCTTTCATACATTTTTTATATGTAAACATTCTCTCTAACCATTCTTTTCTATATTCTACTACATCTGGCCTTTCATGTCCATCATAGTAAATACCCTTCTTCCTTTCATCGTACTTATATCTCCATAAGCACATATAATTTCGACATGTCTTCTCGGAAATAGTATCTTTTTTAATGTTTCCTGTTAATTTTGTAAATAATGTTTCTTCAATATATATCTTTAGATTATAAGGGGAACATGTTTCCAGTGCCTGCTGTTGTAACCATACTTTGCAATCTTCAACAAAATCCTCATCATTCAGTAGGCTTTCGATTTTCATATGTCTTCCTTGAGAATAAACAGGAAGTTCACCAGTTCGTATAAAATGACTTCCCCATTTTCTAATGCATCGAGCTATATAATCTCCTTTATTTTACATATCTTGAGCAATTTGATTACTGGCGGCCATTTTTTTTGTCTATCTAATAATTTCTGTATAAATTAGCGTATACTTAATAGACGTACATAATCATAGGTAAATATATTGCGGTTTTCTTTTTTAGATTTTCCTACTGAACATAATTGATTAAGCTTTTCTAAATGTGTATGTAGGTCTGTTTTTATATTGATCGGCATTAGTTGTGATGATCTAATATTTCCAGAAACTGATTGAAAAAAAGTATCAATTTTTTTTATTCCTTTAGCATGTTCTTCTAATTCTGTTCTTTCTTTTTTTCAATAACTTCATCTTCTCTTAATTTTTCAACAGCATTATCTTCTAACCATTTTTCAATAACTTCATTTTCAATCCATTCTTCTTCTTCAATAGTAGCTTCTATTATAGCTTGATCTTGAGAGACATAGCATCCTTTTTTTCTAGATATTTTATTAACTTGCTGTTGTCTTTTTGTTTTACGTGGCATTTTTAAAAATGAACTTAAATGTAAAAAACAAAGATTTGTTGGCTAAAGAAAAAATTTATTTGTCCAAATTAAAAAATATTTTCAGATTTTCGAGTATAATTAATTACAATAATTTAGGCCGGCATTAAATCATTATAGTGTTGGCCAAAATTACATAAAATTTTAACCAATAAAATTGCATGCATGTGATTTGATTCGTTTCAAATTTGGGCTGATCATATAAAATCATCCGATTTTAAATGCTTATAACTTTTTATGTAAACATTATTTTAAAAATCTAACTGGTAGTTTAATAGTACTCATTTTAAAGAATAAAGTTACCAGTTTATTTTTTTAAAATTTTATTTTTTTAAGGAGTTGAAAGATTTTTAAGTGTTACAATTTTTATTGTCGGGTTAAGACTTCCGGTACCATAGTACTTTAATATGAAGATATTTTAATATAGAGTATCTTGACTTTAGTAGAGTTATGACTTTGCAGAATAATGTATTAATTATAGCTATTATCAAACAATCTCTAAATTTGAAACATATAGAAATCTGTGGTAATGAAATCGATGATGAGATTACTGAAGCACTGGCTCATACTTGTCATAAATTGGAATATCTTGATCTAAGTTGCTGTTCTTTTGTTAATGAATCATCAATTTGTAATATTATATGTTTCTGCTCAAGACTCTAGCATCTCAAACTTAGATACTGTAATATTACCAATACGACTATCAGAAAAATTGCTCGCTCATGTTTCAATTTAAAATTTCTAGATTTGGATGGATGTGAAAATATTAGCAAAAAAGCCATGCATCAGCTAAATCCAAATATTCATATCAAAATTTTTGATGAAGAATACTGCTCTAATTCAGAATCTTCAAGTTCTGGCTCTAAAACTGAATCAGATAATGAAGATGTCTATAGTAATAATGTGTCTCTTCCTATATTTATGAGTATGACTGATACTACAAATGATTTTATTTCTGAACTTTTTACTAGGAGCAGTGATCATAATCTCAGAAGAATTTGCTGATCCATGCACAGCATCTGTTTCTTCATTTTTTTTTTTGGCAAAAGTTGCTGTCCATTGGTCAGAATGTCACATGAATTTTTCAATTTTGTATACTAATGTTTGATATTACATAAACATGCAAACTAAAATAGATCTATTAAAGCAATATATTACTGAACTGAAGGTTGAGCTTGAGATCAAGAATTCTGAGATTCCTGAACTTAGAAAGAAGCTTGCTGAATTTGAAGTCAGGGATGTCAAAATTCATGAACTTAAAAGAAGGTTGCTGAGGTTGAGGCCAAAAATGTAGAGCTTATAAAGCAGATGATGGAAGAGAATAACAGACGTAATGCTAAAATCAAGGACAACACTGAGCTTGAAGCTAGAATTTTAAAACTAGAGCAGAATCAGGCAGAAAGAGAAGCTAAGAAAAATCGCAAATTTCAAACAAGATGTATTCAGATAGCTAAGGAAATTTTTCATGAGGAGCCAATAATTGAGTATCACCCTCCTTTCTTGAATAGATTAGAGCTTGATGCCTTCTTCCAAAATATCGAATTACATTGGAAGTGCAAGGGGTTCAGCATCGGCTTCATAGCACTAGCTGGTATAAGGATATCAAAAAACTCGAAGACATTGTTAATTGTGATTGGCAAAAACGATGTATATGTCAGGATAATGGAATTTTCCTTCTAGAAGTATGGTACGATGAAAAACCGGAAATTGTTATTCCAGAAAGAATACAAAAAATTAAGGAGTTCGCATCCAAAAGTTTAGATCTCCTATAATCAATAACTTATAATATGTTTGCAAAGTCCACAAAAATTCACTGCGCCTATGTGAATCTGTGATGTCATAAAGGCGTCATTAAGATTTGTATATATGGCAACTGTGGAGGCAGTACCAATAAAGTATAGTCTATTTCACTAGTTTGTGCATTCTTTGTTTTGTATATTTATTTCTTTTTCTTTAAAGTCCGTACAGCTGGCTAAACACCTTAAAAGAAACATGGCAGAAAGAGTTGATTACGAAATTCGTGGAGCCTTTCAGGTAAGGAGAGAGAGCAGGAAAAAAAAAAGCTTAAACGAATTCAAAAATCATATTTTATATAGAACGGAGGGGGAAATGACACCTTTCGGCCATACATGAAAAACAGTATTCCTAGACAAGTTTCAACCGATACCAATTATTACGATTTGGGATGCTTGGAGTCTCCTTTGGAGTTATGCCCATCGGCCTTCAAAGAAGATAACAGTAAAGAAGCAAATCGAATATCTATTCGAGAGTCAGAGACTCTTAATAGAGAGTATCATGACAATACAGCCGGATATATATTTGCGTCTATCAACAGTGAGCCTCACGTACTCAGATCAAGTATCGAAACGGAAAGGAAGAGATGTAAAATTCATGATGGGTGCGTCAATTCGGTGTCAACCACTAGTGAGAGAGAAGGCAATAGCAACAAGGAGAGAGAACGTGCAGACGTTAAAGTGGGCAAAGGATGTGAAGAGTGTCCTAACCAAAGAACAATGGATCAAATGCAGGCACAGTTTGGGAAATTGTGCAGAATCGGTTACCTGGGAGGCAATGCGTGGAAAACCACGGCTCCTCAAGAAACGTGTCGTTTTGTACACCCGCACTCTCGCTTTACCCAAAAAGGAACATCAATCACTGAAAGTCCTACAACCATGTCTCAAGTGCAATTGCGTGAAGGAAAAAATGAAAGTTCATCGTGTTGCAACAATCCTTTCATCTTAGTTGATACATTTGAAGATAAATCTCGTATTGCAACCTTAATTAATTGTGAAGTTCTCGATAGTGATCCGAAAGAACTAGTTTATTATATAAAAAGTGTTGCTGAATTCGGCTTTAATCATATTATTACTATTGGGGAGACCGACTCTGGGATAATCTTTTTAGATTGTTTTGGTCGTGTTTTTCAGTGGGATGATGAGAGTGTAAAGTTATGGCCATTGGGCAATACTCCTGAAGAGGTAGCGAAACACCCAATTGTAGGGGAAGATCAGTTGGGATGGTTTGTAATGAATGGAATTGTATATGAGTATTTTAGGAAATGGGAAGATGTGTATTAATTGCTGATTTTAGTTTATGGCTTCTTTTATAGCAATATAATATATGTGTTATCTAATGTACTTGATAATAAAAAAAAATCAATTTATAATAAACAAAGTGATCGGCATTACCGCAAACCATGATTCAGGATATGTTTTGGCCAAGGCTTTGATTTGCCATTAGTAACATAGAAACATTACCATGTATTCCGATTCTTATATCTATTTCAATGTATCACAAAACGTTTTAAACACTGCATCTGATCTGTTTGTTAGCAAACTTCTCCCAGTGATGATAAATTTCTATATGCTAATTTTCTGATCATTGAGCTAATGCATTCTAATACAGGGCAATTTCGCAATTCAGTGGGATTCCCTGAGAATAGAATTATTGCAATAGGATTTCCATTGGACGTGTTGGTCAACTGCGTATTCAACTGCGGAAGTCTTAATTACAAAAGACACCAGAAACAGACGACAACATTGATTTCTCAACCGAAGATGAGAATGACCTCTTGATTAAGGAAGACCTGGGGTAATGAAGGGCCTTAGTTTGAAGATCCCGAAGAGAAGCGAAAACATATCATTGGGTTGGTGCTAATCTTGATAGATCAGCATCCTGCCCTATATGCAATGAAGATCATAAAGAAAAAACA